AAGGACCTCAACGGAGTCCATATAAATCTCCCGTAGACAGTGAAGCTTATGAAATTGAGAGGTGATTTTGGTGAACAGCTTCTCTTTCATTTCTGGGGAAATGGTTGCCGGCACAAAGATGTGAGAGATAAATAGTTTGTGAAGATTTGTCATCTGTCCCAGAAAAGGGGCAAAATGAGCCAAGGAAAACATTGTCCAGGAGAAAAGTACATGCATCTCCTGCACAGAATAAAGATTCAGTTTCCTGAGGATCTTTGTGACCCGTTCAGTGCACAGGCCCATCATACGCAGCTTGGGACATTCCAGGTGCACCCGGTTTTCCATCTCCTGGACCCACTTGAGGAGGTAGCCTTCCACTGGATCCAGCCTATCATTCATGATCCACAGATCTACAATCACCTTGAGGGGCTGCTTTTTTGCCACCCTTGGCAGACTCTTCCTTGTTTTTCTCCTCTTCATGGCTTCTGAGGAGCAGGCTTGCAACTTGTTTTCAGCCCAAACTGTCCAGAAGTTCTGGTGCACAGCCCGCATATCGAGCACTTGCAATTTCAACCTCCTGTGGGTGAACAAGGAAAGAATCTGAGAATTCCAGCCAGGAGCAAATTTCCTCCTGTGCCTTCCTCATCTCTGAGGTCTGTTCCTATCTTCTCCTTCTTTCTGTGCTGCAGTTTTCTGCTTCTCCTTTCCCCTTGGTTACAGCACCATTCTGAACCCGGTGCCTGTGGGAGGAGTCAGGAACTTCTTGCAACTATCACTGCAGCCTCCACCATCAGCTCACCTCTCCATCTGGCAGTGCACGACCAGGTGGCCCCACAATGCCTCAGGCTTCTCTGAATCTCTGCCGGTCCCCATCAGAAGGTTCTCCTTCTTCCTTGAGCCCCCACTCTTCTGACACTTTCTGTCCCTTCCTGGAATCCCAGGACCTCCCTCCAGGGAACCTGTGTCTGACTCACCTGGAGCAAACCTTCTGGCTCAGCAGCATGTGAATCCCTTCCAGCACAGCTTGTAACACACTTTCCTTCATCTGGTGAACATTCTTCACAGTGTCCAAAGTACCTGGTGTCCTCATCTCCATCAGGGATCCCAGGGGTAGGCAGGGAAAGGGCCAGGCCAGCACCATGGCCTTCAGGACCTCAATGTGTCCCCTAGTGAAGGCCTCCATGAACACTGGTGGGAAGAGCGCCGATGGCAGATGTTCCACGGCCTCCATGGCCAAGGCCTTGTCCCTCAGCAAGCTCTGAATTGCCAGTTTCTGTAGTGTCTGTGGGTGCTGGGTACTCATCCTGGTGAATCTGGAAGGCCAGGGCTGCTGGGGAAACACAGAGGAAGGAGACATCCTTTCAGGAAAGGCGGAGACACAACTTCTAACCCATCAGGAACAAACTTGCAACCAAAACATCCCTGCTCTGACAGGCATGGAAGAGTCCTCAGTTTATCCCAAATCTATTTAGTGCTTATGGTCCCAAAGCATTACTTCTAGTTGGAGTGACACCAGGAAGAATGTCTGATAGCACCATGATGATGCAATTTGATGAATAGAACATAGATTTCCTACTCCAGCACCCTAAACTCTGCACCCGCTGGGAATTGGGAACCAAGGATTCTGAAACTGACTCCCATAAGTTTTCAGAAAGTATTCTGATCCTCATTCTAAGGAAATATAATCAATAAACTGGACATGTCATATGGGCCAGTCTCTACCTTATCAGTTCCCACAATGCATTTGGCCAAGCAAAATTAAAGAGACTATGAAATGAACGCCATGTGTTTCCATTGCACATAGTTATGGAGTCCTGGATTCCCCTCCTACCCAGAGCTGGCTGGAGCAGGGACAGTCTGCTCTGTCTGCCTCCCTTTTGGCTCCCTGGGTCATCCAAACCCCGACAGTGGA